CATAAAAATTCAATCCAACAAGTAGTCATTTCAAAGGTCAGCATACAGAAGGCAATGATCATGGAGTTGTGAAGGTGCTACCAGGATGTAAAAAAATGTTTTATTTCTATTTTGTGACTATCAGGAGAAAAATAAACACGTATGCCAAGCCTAAGTATAGAACTGAAAATAACAAGTGGTAAACAGGAAAATACTTTGTAAAATACAAAAAGTAAACTACAAAACTAAAAGAAAAATGGAGTTGAAAGACAAATTTGTGTTTTTGCTGAAATTCCATGGATAGTACTTTGACCCTGAATTCCATGGATAGTACTTTCAGAATGCATATTTTTCTGTGAGCTTTATGCAGATGAATGTGTATATGTACCTAGGGACATTCAAGTGTGGAATATCGTCATTGCTATACCCACACACTTTCAAGGAGCTACTCCAAGAGCACTAACGCAGAGATCACCCTGGATTTCTCCCACAGTGTCTTCCTTGCAAACACTCACCAGGCCCTGCCCTTGCAGCAGAGAACCAGGGCTTCCAGCATCCAGACAAACGCTGGCTGCCGGGTATCATAGTTCCTTCCTCTTTTATAGAAAACCAAGTACTTTCTGGGTGACAGGTATTTCTCCAACTTGCAAAATCAACTAATTCTGAATTAGTTTAAAATATTTTATTCTCTTGAAAGCACAAAGTGTAGGTCAGCATAGAGCACTTCACTTGAAACTAAGTTGCTTAACATTGGCATACCTGGTGTGTTGATGACAGACATTTTTTCCGAGCTAAAAATAAATGTATTACTAACAAATATTAAAATAATTAATCATGACCTAAGGTTTAGTGTAATAAAATATTATTGCAAATTTAGGAAATCAATTAAACCATAGAACAAGCCAATTTATTTGATTTATAAGAAAAAAATCACTGTAGATTACTCCCTTTATATTACGGTGTTGTACTGAAGAGCCTGTCCACCAGTTACTTTCCTTGGCTCTTGACTCATCAAACCCATGCTCTAGTGAGAGCAGAAGCTTTTGTCCCAGCACAATTTTTTTAATAGAAAAGGTGAGAATAAGGGACTATAGCCCCAGGTATATAAACATCAGATTTGGAGGGGTGGGTGGGCATTCAGCCCAGCAGTGAAGAGGCCCATGTCCCATGCCAGGTGGGTTGGATGCCCACCTCAAGGTGCGGGCTCCAGCTTCCTCCTACTGCGTACCTGGGAGACAGTGGTAAGGGCTGAGTAATTGGGTTTCAGCACCCACATAGGAGACCTCAACTGAGTTCCTGGCTCCTGGCTTCAGCCAGGCCCACTGCTGGCTGTTGTAGGCATTTGAGGAATGACCCAACTGATGGGCCCTCTCTTTGCCCATTGTTCTGTCTGCATCTCTCTCTAATTAAGAAACAAACAAAAAAAACTTAAAAATTGGACTTGAGATGGGAGTCTGCATTACGGAAGGCCCAGAAAGTATGGAACCATTGACGCCGTAAATCCTGACACCAAAGAATCCTTTGGTTTGTTGCAATTAGGACAGGGAAGAGGGGAGATCCAAAGCAGCCACACTCTTACCTGGGGGAGTCAGCTGTGTGTGAGAGCTTCACGTGCCTGTGTCTCACCATTTTCCACAACTTCCCTACCCTGATTCCCAGCAGAAGTGACACGGGACCAGACACCTGCCTCTTGTCACTCTTGAGGGCCACCATATCTACACCACCAGATAGGATGGCAACCATAATACAGGTGAAATCATATTACTTTCCACGAGACAAAAGAGAAAATTCAACCGAAGTGTACTGCCTGATTTTTATTTAGACTTACATCCATCTTTATACAGCACTTTCTTTTATCTGTGGAAAAGCCCAGCAGGAGTACCAACTAATCAGCAGCAGGTTCAACTGCAACATGATCAGTGCCAACAGCCTGTCCTCACTGTTTGCCGACTGCCTTTCCGTGAAAGTCCAACAGAAAGAACTCTTTCTCCACTCAGTCAGAAAGAGCCACACTATACTAAAGATGCAGAAATAAACTCCAATTCCATACCGTTGCTCATAAAAAAATGAATTCCATATAGGCATCATCATGCTGCACCTTTCTTATAAAATGATACCCAGGACATTTGTCAGACTTAGAAATAGGCAACCCAGAAGTGCATGATGGCACTAAAGTCAAAAGCCTTCTGTGATGGAGGAAAATGTTATATCCTGTGATACCGATGTCTCCTGTCACTCATGTTCCTTAAGGTATCAAAGATTTTTAATGGTACAGAAAATCAAAATTTCTGGTTTATTCTTTTCTTAGAATAGCAACAAAGTTCCTGTCAATTGTGATTTTTCTAAGTCACATGACAAATAATATTTTTAAAAACCAAAAAAAGACTTACTTTTTTATTCCTTAAAGTTCAAGTAAGACATTCTTAACTCACTTTAAGAATTACACCCTAAATTTCCTAAGTCATGTTCTAATTACTGCTTTAAGCACATACTTTGATAATATATCAAATGTTACTGAGAGCCCCTCACAGATTCAGAAGGTCTTACTGAGCCAAACAGTGAACTAACCAAAGTATACAGAGGGTGGCTGGGAAAAAGTTAAGATTTAGAAGAAAATAAGGCCAAAAGTAAACAACAGAATTCAGAAACCACACTTGAAACTACCCCAGAGATGGTTAAACTTCTTGAAATTACTTGTACCTTAGACTTTAAACAGCTAAAACATGTAATTTAAATATATTACCCTATTCACATCCCCGACCACCACACATTGCTAATTGGAGGGTGAAATCAGGCATTACCACATCATTTCTGCCTGGTGAGATAATTTTGGTTTTCTTCAAAGCATTCTGCCAATACTCTTATTTTCACCAGGAAATGTTTACTTTTTATTCTGAAGGAAATTTATATCTGCAATCACCAGTCCCAGGTTTGTCAAATTGCAAAATATAAAATGAAAGCTTGAAATAAGTATAAGAGTCAATCTGTTTTATAAGTATTGAGCATATCTAATACACTTCAACCATTTCCAAAGACAGGGGCTAAACAAATATTTTATTGATACTTCTGTTATCTCTTTATTCTCCTCAAGTGAAATAACTTATAATCAACTTTTATAACGTTACAAGCTTAAAATTTTTATTGTTGACATATTTGGTTGAATTGTACCTTCCTTCTCTTTCCTACTTTACCTCTGATAAGAAATAGCCCTTACACCAAGACTAGTGTGATATTTCAACAACTATACCAGACATCGTTCTTTTGAAATCTGAATTTACAGAAAAACTACATCTTCTATATTCTTAAAGTAGATCATTTAATATACACATTTTATTTATTTGTTTGAGCGCCAATTCAGTCTCTATATACCCTTCAGTTGTGAATTATGTCCAGTAAACAAATAAAACATCTGTTTGTATTAGATCACAACTAAGTTTGAATGTATTTTTGTCTATATTATATCAAATTATTTTTTGCCTAACTTCTCACTTTTTCACCACACAGTTTTGGCACTGTATAGACAATCTCTGACATCTTAAAGAATAGAAAGTTTAAAAACAATAGCAAATTGCTGCTAATTTTCTTCTTGATGGGTGCTATTAACACTTATTAACCTCAGGTTGTACCCACGACAAAACATCAACTTAGTATCTATCTTCAGAAACAAAAAGAAACAGGATAGGAATTTTAACAGACTAGTAAAAAATGGAATTTTTTCGTGCTGCTCATGAAGTGAAATACAGCCATAAATCAGGAACAGCTTTTGAAAGCAAGTATGATTACTAAGCTTTCCTAAAGGCAATTCTGAACTTGTCACTCACTTGCAATATTTCTATCTTAAAAAACAGTAATGACTTACATGTAATTTCCTTAAGGACAGCAAACACTTGAAAATGCAAAAGAATTTTGTATTTTACCCCTAAGTATAAAAATAAATATTTCACTAAGGAATGGGGGGAAAAGAACATTTAAATAATTTTATTGCATTGGAAGTTGCCAATTTGACTGTGAGTAGTTCCATTGCAGATGAAAAGAAATCAAAATACAGGACAGATGTTGAACAAACCACATTTAAGTTCTGTCACACCGTGGCATTTTTCAAATGATTTTGGCTCATCTATTAAATAAGGTGCATTTTGCTTGACTTTGAAAAGGGAAACATCAGGAAATATTTAAAGGCCAATTGCTGCCAATTAACTTTGATCAGTAAAAGTTCTATTTGAATCTTTCAGATTCCCCTCCTGTCTGAAATAACATACGTTTATAAAATCGAATGAAACAACAACTTGATGATTAATGCCTGTTGGCAACCCTACCACAGCTTTCTTAACAGTGGAATTTAAATAAACAACTGTCTCTGTTAAGAAATGGGTGACAGGTAGCTATGATCATGTTTTCTCATTATGGAGATTGAAAAACAATATTCGTTATTAAGAATGCTGCTAACCAAGCTCATCATGTTGTCAATGCTGCTAACACATTTAGCTAGCCATCACACAAAAATTTCCAACCAATCACAATGGACCAATAAAATCATCAGCAGTTTGACATAAGAAACCCTAGCAACCAAGTCCCAACTACAATATCCTCCAACAATGACCTCCAAGCGATTGGACCATCCAGAAAGAAAAGCGTCCACACTAACACAGGACGAGTATGACATAGACAGCATTTGTAAGTATTACTACTTCTGTTGCATTGTAAAGGTAAAGGTAAATCTCCACAGAGATTATGCATCATGTGAGAAACAGGCGGCTTCGGCTAATCCACAGACTTCAACACTTAAGATTCACATTACCAAATCCAAATCCCTACCAACAGTGACGTGGGATCTAAGTTGGAAACACAACAGCCAAAGAAAGGCAAAGCAGAACTACCATGAAGGTGGAATACTGCCAGACGATCAATTACTTTATCTCATTGTTCCAATTATATGTTTAAAAATAATATCCCATTGCTATTTAAGACCAGTCTCCACTTTTCAGACATGCAACATGACGTATAAAACCATTAGGACTTACTTCTAAGTCGTTAAAAAATAGATGTGTATCTGCCAAGTTGAAAATCATTTCTTCCATTCGCAGTCCAAGGGAAACTGAAGTGGGTGGATCCTAAAAGAAGAATTTCATAGGTCAACATCATGTATGCTTGATGTCACATAAATACAGTGTCACATTAGGTGGGAGCCAGCACCAGCAAAGGCAAGAAGCAAGAGACACCCAGGGAAACGGAGACTCCGGTTGCCTTTCGTGTGCACAACTTATTGTGTTGAGGCTTCAGTGCTTTATTTACTGACACTATCCTACGTGGTGTTGGTACTTTGCATGATGAAGAAATCATATGCCACTTAAATATTATAAGAATATAAAATCTACAGTTACTGAGACATAAAACAGGGGAGACATTCAGCTCAATATGTCTGTTTCAGGAGCAGCAGTCAGTCAGTCAATCAATATGCCATTATCCTCTCACTGTCTATAACTCTACCAGTCAAATAAATAAAAAAAAGCCATATCTATATTATACCATGATCCACTTTGAGTTCCAGATGTCCTGCCACAAATATCAGAAAATAAATACACTGTAGATTAATTTCAGAAGGATGCTAAGTAGAATTTTACCCTAGATGACAGCTCTCCACGAGTATTTATTCAGACTGCTTGCCAATTTTAAGTATATTCAAAGTTGGAATTGATGGTCACTTTGATCACCCAGGACCATGTTTAGCTCAGGGAGCTGACCTGGACACTCACATGACACTATCTGGGCATCAAATAGCCAGCATTATATACACAGAGGAGTTCTAGCACCCTGAAGCCTAGCTTTGGGCCATACTGTTGAGTAGTCAAGTCTATGCAACTTATATCCTGATGTCATTTACTGGCATTGAAATGCCCTTGGCTGATATGCAGATAGGTACAATCTTCATGGTGTTGCCTATTTGTAATATATAAAATCCAGGAAGAAATATGGTTCATGACTGAAGAGCCAGCATAATTAGTGAAGAAGGAAAAATTTCTGGAAAGATAAAAGGATTCTATAACTTAATAAAGGATATGTTTTTGAAGGTTTTATTGGCATTCTACTAATAACAGTTACTTTTATATGTATGGTATTTAAGATTTTTCCAAAGAACAACAATTTCTTATTTATTTATTTATTTATTTTTAAAATTTTTTGACAGGCAGAGTGGACAGTGTGAGAGAGAAAGACAGAGAGAAAGGTCTTCCTTTTGCCGTTGGTTCACCCTCCAAATGGCCGCTGCGGCCGGTGCATTGCGCTGATCTGAAGCCAGGAGCCAGGTGCTTCTCCTGGTCTCCCATGGGGTGCAGGGCCCAAGCACTTGGGCCATCCTCCACTGCACTCCCTGGCCACAGCAGAGAGCTGGACTGGAAGAGGAGCAACCGGGACACAATCCGGAGCCCCGACCGGGACTAGAACCCGGTGTGCCAGCGCTGCAGGTGGAGGATCAGCCTATTGAGCCGCGACACTGGCCAACAATTTCTGATATACTATTTTATTGTCACAGCAACCCTTGGGAATAAGTACAGAATCTACCTGTATAATTACTTGCCCTGGGAAAGTGTTAATTAGAGGAATTATGCCTTCAGGTAAGGCTGCCCATCTGGCCTGGGTACTCTATCACCACAGTCTTCAAGTGTTATGTAAGCGTCAAGAAGATAAAACTCAAAGAAAGTAAGATTCTCACTACCCAATACTGACCCACATAAACCTTACACACGATCTCTGCATTGTCTTCTGGATACACTTTCAATCTCAGGACTTGCCTGTGTCTTCCTCCCTGCTCTCCATGTAACTGAAATCTACCCTCCCCTTGAGTAACTTCCAAGAGCCCCACCTCCTCCTGCAATAGGAGAGTCCTAGCCTGGGGAGCCAGGACCTATGTTTGCTTGCCCATTCTGAGGCTCTGTGTATGCAGTGAGCCTCGTTTGTGGATGTGATAGAAGGCTAGATGGCAAACACAGTGTCCTCACATAAAACAAGAAAAGAATAGGTGTTTCTCAATATGACACAATTACACGTTTATATACTTAGGAGTGTGCAGGGACCTGGAATGGAGTGATGGGGTGGACATGCTTGGCACCTGGTATGGGCCAATCAGGTTTAGCCAGGGAGGCAGAACCAGCACCTCCCACAGCCTTCTAGCACTGCCATACCCCTCTCTAAGGCCACCCAACCCACAGAAGCACCCTCCTACCTTCCAGGAGTGCTAGAAGGGGAAGGGGCAGAGGTCTGTGATGCCTGCCCCTCCTCTGCTAGCCGACTGGCAATGGAAGGAGGTGGAGGACGTGGGATTGCCAGAAGTCAGGGGTAGATTGGCCAAGGGACAAAGCAAACACTCCATGGTTTACGAGAGGGCTGGGAGGAAATACAGACGCAGAGGCTAACAGTGTCCAAAAGCTGGCCCGGGAGGCACAAATGCAAACAATTCCCTCAAATTTCCCGTTGGACGATTCACACCCCTTAACATTCATAAACGCTCCCTTTGAATACTACCTGCAATCTATGAAATGTCGTACGTTGTAGAAGCATAAACACGGTTTACAAATAAGTGAAGAAAAACTAACTCATCTACTCTAGGTTTCATAGGAAATTGTTCACTCCCAAGGATAATAAATAACAGCGAGAGCGGTGAAAAAATTTTTTTAAAGTCAAATATTCAAGTAGTCCCCAGAACAGAATTAACCAATAGGGGAAGTCCAAACAGCTGTTTCTGAAACAGAACACCTGACTAAGGTGTTTACTCCCTCTAGTTCAGGCCAATAAAAATACATGACTTGTCTCATAACCATGTCAATGAATCTTTTTATGTGGCAAGGGTGGAGACTCACCACCTTGATTTAATTGCCAATTCTGGAATTTATGTGCCATAGTATTGTTGCTTTTGAAAAAGTATTATTTCTCCTTAATATGGCTGCTTATTTATATGACCATCAAAAGAATTACTCTATTGTTTGTTAATATATAGCACGCTTTAACTTTTCTTCATAAATTACAGTAATGACTTGCTAGTTGGAATACTAATAAATTTTAAAGGCTTGTTCCATCCTGTGGTAAAATATAACACAGATGTTGGACTTATTTACCTCCTAATGCTATTTGCTTTTGTTATTAGCAGTCATCCCTTAGCAGTTTTTATCCTGCCACTCTATGATATTGTTACGAAACATTTATGACACCAAAAGAATGGTTTGGCAGTTAACTGGAAGGAGATAATTTTAGAATAGGAATAGGCTCTAGTTGAAAGTAGTGTTTCTCAAACATCTTTTTACTACAATCCACCATAAGAAATTAAGTTTTATACCACAATCTTGTAATTTCTCATTCTCTCTCTCTCTCTCTGTCTTTCACAACACACACACACACACACACACAGAGTAAACATGCAGGTACACGCAGTTGAAGTATAAGTTTCACAAAATAAGACTTCAATCAGTGTGTTGCATGTACTCTGAGTGTTTGCACTTCATAGCCCTGCCACCATCTGCAGTTTGGAAAACAGAGCTCCAGAGGGCATGGACTCTGATTTGAGACATGAACACTGCGATCCAGCAGTACTGTGATTTGTGCTTGATAACTGAGTTGGCAGGGTGCAAAACCATTTCACCCTGTTTTACTTATGCAGGGACAAGCAGAAGGGCAGATAACTGTGTTTACAGATTTGCTTACACAATTCTAGTAACTGGAATACTTCTAACATGTTTGATTTTATTTTCCTGTTATAATAGAAAATATTTTAATAGCTTCAAAATTTTCAAACTTGCCTGATACAAGTTAAATACAACAAAAGCTAATACTGCATAGCTAATAAATTTGTCGTACCATGATGGCTTATTTTGGCATATTTAGAAGGAGGGAAAAACACATTCTTAGACCAAAACTGAGAAATGAAAATCACCATGTCTTTGGTTTAATATTACTTTTCTCTAATAAGTAATTTTCTTGAACTAACAAATTCCAGGGCAGCAGTTACAAAATGGTTTCTTTCAAAATATCATTTTTTGTTATATCACTTTTGAAAAATTAGTTAAAGCTTTGCCTCCATCTCAAAGCAACATCTCATTTTAAAGAAATCTCATCGCCAAACGTCACCATTCTTGTCTGGCTTTGACTGCTCTGTGGCATTCAACAATGCTGTCTACTCTCTTGTTAACCTTGCTCCTCTTCTGCTGTCTACAATGCTGTCGATCTTTTCTGGGTATCCTCCAAGAATCTGGTTATCCATTACTTAATACTTAAACCACACCACCTCACTCCCTCCATCAGATCTGAGGCCTCCATAGGCATATATATCAATGACTTGTTGGTCATTTCTCCTTGCATGTCCATCAAGCATCAAGCACCTGACACATTGTGTGGTAAGTTGCACTTACCCTATTTCCCTCTGGAAGTCAACTGTATTCCTTCTTTAGATGAATGACAACCTACCAACCCCAAACCTTGGTATTCTCCTAAACCCTCTCCTTGCTCTCAGTTTTACATCGTATCAACCCTGTCATCCTGCTACTGGCACCAGAAATTCACATCTTCATCTTCACTACTGGTCTTTGTTTCTTTGCTTCCCCCCCGGCCATGAGTCCTTCTCTAAGCATCCCCTTCTCCCTATTCCCGTTCCATTTTTCCCTCTCTTTCAGGAAACATCCAAATACTCCAATCAGTATGAGAGGCCTGTGAATGTTGTTCGTAACTGTTGTTTACCTCCCTAGCATATGAACTGTTCACATATTTCCTTTGTCTTTTATTATAGAGAGAGAGTGAGAGCACATGAACAGTCCCATCAGCTGGTTCACTTTCCAAATGCCCACAACATCTGGAGCCGGGCCAGGCCACACCTGGGAGCTGGGAACTCAATCCAGGTCTCCCACACGAGCTGCAGGAACCCAGCTACTTGAGCAGCTATCACCTGTGGCCGCTGAGGGTCGGGACAGGAAGGGTCTAGCAGGTGGAGTCAGGAGCTGCAGCCAGGCATGGAACCTAGGTACTCCAATGGGGGTCACAGGTGTCTTCCAGCTAGGCTAAACACGCGCCCGCAAACTATTTTTTTAATTATGATACCTTTTCTTTAAAAGATGACAAAGCAGAGTCTTAA